AGGGTCCGAATCTCCACGGGGAGCTCGTTCCAGAGGGCCGGAGCAGCCACAGAGAAGGCCCTCCTCCGGGTGGACATTAATACAATCAAGCAGGTCCAGAGGTACTTCACGAGAAGAGTACTCCACTCTTCTGCTCACAATAGAATTCCCTATGCCACCAAGACTTGAAATTTTGGGCTTGGACAATCTGGAATTGCGCCCCTGCAGTATGATCTAAGCACAGTATACAAAATTGTCTGCTATAACATCTTGCCAGTCAACAACTTCTTCAGCTTCAACCACAATAATACATGGGCAAACAATCGATAACAAACTCAAGGTAAACCGCTCCTAACTTGATTGCAGAAACAGAGTGGTCAACACCTGGAATGCTCTACCTGACTCTGTTGTTACATCCTCAAACCCCCACAACTTCAACCTTAAACTGTCTACAGTAGACCTCACCCTATTCTTAACAGGTGCATAAAGGGGGCGTGCATAAGCGCACCAACACGCCTACCATCCCTGTCCTACTGTGCCCATTTATTTGTACTCACTTCTTTTGTCCATGTCGATGTTTATACTTATACCTGTTAACTCGTACATGCTTGACAAACTAAATAAATTAAAATAAATATATATATCATACATGTGGCATAAATCAGAGTTTATTAAGCTTCATGCATTTCAAGCAGCCAAATCCCTCTCAAAGGTATGGTTTTTTTTCTTTATCTATACATTGCAGTACTAAAATTCACATCGTGTTTATTTGTTGGTACACTCAGGTTAACCCAAACAGTGCATGATGTCACAACTATTTTTTTAATCAAGGTGCTTAAAACTCGCCAACTTGAAGAATGCAAATGTGGGGCCCATTACTCCTGTGGAATTGAAATTGTTATGATATTCAAGAACAGTTTTATGTGCAAAGTTGTGGCCGCTGCAGTCTCCCCGCTGTCACACAATCGTGATTCTTAATGCATCCAACAAGCAAAAACAATGGGGAAACTTTCTGGAAGTGGGAAGTCACTCCAACTCCAAAGACTCTATGACGGGACAGCAGAATACCTGCAGGACCACATCTTCCAACCTATTGCAAGCAAGTAAAGTTAGCTGAAATAACTTTTCAAAAATATTTAGGTTTGTTGGAAGAAATGTCCATCTGGGTTCAGTTCCAAGTGGAGAAAAAGACACTGGAAACATGGTGGCTGTTTGCAAAGATGGTTTAATGGTGGACAGGACCACATGGTTTGAGGTCCTGAGCAAAAGAAGCACATGGAGAGGAGAGAGGGATAGATTCATACCCTCTGTTGGGCCCTACCTTAGAGCTTCATGTTCAAGAAATGTATCTCATTGGCTGTCAGACTCCCCGGGAGAGGGGGTCTTAGCTAACTTTGTAGGCTGTCTGTGTCCCAGGCTCGGTTGAGCCTTGCTGGGTGATGCAATCTCCCCAGGTGCCATGTGATGAGTTCTGTTGCTAGATGGGTAGAGTGCTAACCCTATCTTGTCCTGAGGACCATCCTTTAATCCCATCACCTTGGAACTGAAGGGGCAGGTGGGAGATGGAGCTGCTTTGTTTTTAAAACATGTTTCTCCTTTTCTCATCCAGGAAAATATAATATTCTGCCTTTTTAATATTTCCTAAAATGTTTCATTCTTCTAAGAGAGGGGTGGGTGCTAACTTTCAACAGGTTCAACAATATGTTTCTATTCATTTTGTTCTATGGAAATGTGAGTTGGGTATGAGTTAAATTGGGCGGTTGTAGAAATCAAATAAATATCGGGAAGTTTAACTACAGGATCCTTGCGTACAGGTAGTCCTCAACCTACGACCACAATTGAGCCCGAAATGTATGTTGCTAAGTGAGACATTTGTTAAGTGAGTTTTGATCCATTTTACCATCTTTCCTGCCACAGTTGTTAAGCAAATCACTGCAGGCGTTAAGTTAGGGACACGGTTGTTAAGTGAATCTGGCTTCCCCATTGACTTGTCAGAAGGTTGCAAAAGGTGATCAACTGACCCCCGGGACATTGTAGCCGCCATAAATATGAGTCAGTTGCCAAGTGTCTCAATTTTGGTCACGTGATCATGGGGATGCTGAAATGGTCCTAAGTGTGAAAAATGGTCATAAGTCACTTTTTCAAGGCTGTTGTAACAATGGTCACTAAATGAACTTTTGTAAGTTGAAAACTACCTGCATTTTCCTTCTTGGTTCTATTATCTTGGTTCTGTTATCTTTGGTTAATTCTCTATGTGTTTCAAGGAGCTGTAGAATGGTCTGTGAACTATAATATAAAGATATATTAAGTCTGTGATGGCCAACTTATGGTTAAGTGTGCCACAGGTGGCACGCAGAGCCCTTTCTCCGGCCATGCGAGTCATTACCTCGGCTCAGTTCTGGCGTGCATGTGCACGCACTTCCTGCCACCTAGCTGATTTTCGGGTCTCTGCTGTGTGTGGGAGATGCACGCACATGTATGGGGGGCAGGGCGCACACGGAGGGGTCACATGTGTGTGTGCAGGGTCAGGGTGCACACGAGGACATGTATGCACACGGTGGGCGCACACATTGCATTATAGCAATAGCAATAGCAGTTAGACTTATATACCGCTTCATAGGGCTTTCAGCCCTCTCTAAGCGGTTTACAGAGTCAGCATA